ATTACATATAAAAAACTATCAGATCCCATAATTACCCTTTTGGATGGGATTCGGATGAGACTAAAACAGGTAGCATTGCCTGAGTTCTTTGACTGGTAGCTTTCAGAGCTCAGTGACCCAGATGGGCTATCAAGGATGGTGCTGCAGCGATCTGACAGAAAAAAACAAAAACAAAGATTATACCAGAATCAGATTTAGAGACTCTTTTACATTCAAGTCAGGTACAGCGTGCTCTGGTTAGAATGAAATGATCTCCATATTGTTATCTGTCAACCTTAATGTTAAAGTCTTTGCATATATGCAGTAGTTAAATTCACTCCACTAAATGAAGAGATGCGTAATTCTAATTTGCAGATCATTCATAAATATCTATATTAAAATAACAAGTACATAGCACAAGGGGAAAGCACCAGATTTTTGTATCTAAAGTCCAGAACCAAACAAAGGGCCATACGTTTACAATTTCTTTTTACACGTGTAAGAAGAATGTGAGAAAATGTAATTTTTCCGAGGGATTGGCATATGAGCTGAATGGGTTTCCAGTAGTGATGGGGAAAGTCAGCAAAGTATCTTCTTTTTCTGGAGGATGTTTTCTATTCATCCTGATTCCCCCGAGACTTAGAATTTAGTTTTGTATTTTGAATGGGAGGGACTATGCCTTCTCTCGTAGTTAAAATTAAAGAGTTAAATATTTATTATTTTAAAATGTTAATTATAATGTAAGTGTTTAAAAATCTGTAGGTTTTGGATGGATAAGCTGTGACTAAACTGTTTCACATTGGAGAGGCTCAACACTGGTTTTGGTCTTTTGAGCTCTGAAATCGCCTATGTCTGCAGTCAGAGATTAGTGTGATAACAGATGCTTTGATGTTCTTATAGTTGTTTTTTGAGTTCCACAGAAGTCAAATGACCGAAAGGAAGCACACAATGGAAAGACTACATGGGCCAAATTCAGAGCACTTCCATGGAACTACACCCTCTTACACCAAGGATGAGTTGGTCCAACAGATTTGGAAACAAATCGTATACTGTGTAGTCAAGATGTGTCCCAGTCTTCATCTTTGGTTTGCAGGTTCAGTCTCTGAATACCTGCCATGTGTTCTCACTGCACACAACGACCCACTGAACATAGCAGTTTCAGGATGTTCCAGATGCAGCATCTCTCTACAGGGCTACTCTAGTACCTCTGTGAGGGCTCTGAACAGTTGATGAGCGGATGGATATGATGCACTTACTGCAGTTGTAGAGCTTGTTGATTTTGGCCACATCCAGGTTACTCAGTCCATATCTCTGCCCAACAGGTACAGAGGCATCAGGAATTGGCACAATTGTTGCTTTCCCAGGCGTGTTAGAAAAAGCATTTCTGCAGGAACAAGAAGAATCACGTTATCTATGTCTAAAGACATTTTACAGTATTCATTTGTATAATCCATATGCTTTACACCAAGAATAATATGTGCATTAATTACTCCCACCCTACATTACAGCTGTATAATTCTTGTGACCAACCATTTCATCTAGAAAAGTAATGAATACTGAGTACATGGTACATTCATCCCTATGTAGAGGACCAGCACCAGTCTGGCCTAGGCACCACCTAACACCAAATTCATGGAGTTACCTTAATGGTGAATTTGGCCCAATAATCATACTTTAAAGTACACTTTAGCTCAAGTGATATATAGGTTCTGTTGAAGGAAAATAGTTTCTGCTGTTTATGGTGATGGGTGTGGGTGTGGGGGGAAGGAACATTAGGACATTTCTCTTATTCTTAAAGCTAATTTTTACAAAAATCTAAATCTGAGGCCAAATTTTAGCTGACAGTCAGCTATATGACCACCTGAAGAAATTATGTGTCCCTTTAAGGCCACCAGATTGGACTCCGAGAACCCCAGTACTATTGAGGACTTAACACAGAGACCAATCACTATTCCCAAGCGGTCCTGTAACGGTTATTTCCTGGACCTGATCCTGCACTCCACTCAGGACTAAATCGAGAATTGCCTCTCCCCTTGTGGGTTCCTGCACTAGCTGCTCCAAGAAGCAGTCACTTAAGCCATTGAGAAATTTTATCTCCGCTTCTCTTCCTGAGGTGACATGTATCCAGTCAATATGGGGGTAATTAAAATCCCCCATTATTATAGAGTTCTCTACTTTGGTGTTTAAGACATGGTGTTCCATGGTCTTAAAAAGTTTAAGAAACACTGATCTAGCAGCACCTTAAAGACTAACAAAAGGGGATATAGATGTTATCAAGAGTTTTTGTGGGTGCAACTCACTTCATCTGATACCATCATGAAACCATCTGCATGTTTTTTTAGTCTTTAAGATGCTGTTAGACTATTAGTTGTTTTTAAAGTTTTATAAGTAGAAATTTGCAACAAATTTTGTGCCTACCATAACTATTTTTCAAGATAACAATTTTTCAAGATGCAATCAGTAAGATTGGCAATTGGACAGGGAGATTTTGAGACAATGGGATGTGATAATTACAGGTTCACATAATGATAATACAATGCAGTGTTTGGGTATGGCAAAATAAATGAACGCAACAACATTGTGACTGCAGTGGCACAAAACATACCCATTGTGTACTAGTACTGAGATATTCATGTTTCTTCCTACCCACTTCTTAGCATGTTTAAATTTAGCTTGTAAACTGGGACAATGTGTCTTTACTATGCTTTGTGAGGTGACTAGTACACTTTAAGATTTGTAGAATAATATTGCATTTAGACACATCAATTTTTGACACTGTGCAAGCACATTGTGAAATGATACCATTGATATTCAGTAGCAAAGCCATTCCCTTGTGCTGCAGTGTCATCAATGTGCTTGTGACATCACCACCTTGTGCTTCTATGTCATCTTCTGCTCTGCTGTGCTGGAATGTGGCGTAGGCAGGACAGAGGTGTTTGGGTTTCGTCATTCAGAAAGTTGGAAACCTTAGCCTTGTCTCATGGTGCTACATCATCCCTGTCGTGTCACGACATCACTTCCACAGCAACATCATTGCCTTGAGCCAGGATGTAGCTACCGTGTCATCACACGAGATCCTGGAAATCTGTTTGTCAGGAAAAACACACCTGGAGTCTGCATTTTTATAGAGAATCTTTAGTTTTTACATCTGTGAAAAATAAAAACAGAAACATGTACAGTGGAACCCTGATTATCTAATTGGTATTAGGGCATGATTGTGGATAATCAGAATAGATAGATCTTGTTTATCAGCCCTACGTGGTAGGGCTTCAGCTTCAGCCCAGGGCAACAGCCCTGAAATCATCCCCGGTGCCAACTCTGCCCTCATATCTATACAAACAAATTCATCACTGGACCCAACCACTTTAGGTACCACATCAGAGGCTCATTTAATTGTTTCAGACCAATTCCACAAGCCAAATACACAGAAAAGGATTGGAACTTAAATTCATTTACAAGTTTAATTTTTATGCTAATGGTCTGAACCCACACTATTTTCCACCTTTTAATGACATAAACCAACTAAACAATGGAGGTGCTAATGGTTCATAATAGCCTCCTGTAACTTTAACAATCTCTCTTTTTATTCCTGTCCTCCCCTTTCCTTCGCTCCTCCCCCGCTTCCCTTATTTATTCTTGGATCTGGACTTATTATACTCCAGTCATCTGAAGAAGTGGGATGTGCCCACAAAAGCTCATGATCCCATCTACATGTTTTGCTAGTCTTTAAAGTGCTACCAGACTATTTGTTGGTTTTTAAGTTTTTCCTAAATAAGCTAGTTTTATGACATTAGAAAAATGACTGGTCTGATGTCCGCTAAAATGTAAGGCAGTGACCCTGCTCCACAAGGGATAGGTTCCACCTCTGTAAACCGGAATTCTCTGATCTGGGAACATTTGCGATAGGGCAGGACCATGGATGCTCCAGGGTCAGAGAGTCCCGGCTGCTGTGGTGAGTGGGGGGGCCAGGATTCTGGTGCGTGGCTGGGAGCCCAGCTGGGCCAGAAGCGACCTCCCTGGTCGGGAACACGGCTCAGCTGGGAGCAGGGAGGCCCCGCTGCAGCGACGCTGGGGGGCGACAGGGCGCTAACACACGGTTAAGCGGTTCACTCATGACACGGGATTTTGCATCCCTGGTCCAGTGACGTCATGGCACTGACAGGCAGGCTGACGTCACGGTGACGACACTGCAGCCTGTGACGCTATTGTGGCGAACTGCCCCACCGGAAGAATTGCCCGCCGAGGGCGCCCCGATCTTCCAGGG